TCCTCCTCTCCTCTCCTCTCCTCTCCTCTCCTCTCCTCCTCCTCCTCTCCTCTCCTCTCCTCTCCTCCTCCTCTCCTCTCCTCTCCTCTCCTCTCCTCTCCTCTCCTCTCCTCTCCTCTCCTCTCCTCCTCACTTCTCGTCAGGTCTCGCGACGCTCTTGGGCAACTTCCTTGTCGTTTCTCCGTTTCCTCTGGACATGAATTTACAGCTCTACACCAGGTGATGGATGTTGACAAGGCAGACTGTGGCTGGAGAGACAGAGGAGGACAGGAGACTGTAGATGATGAGGCGAGGCGAGGCGAGGCGAGGGGAGAGGAGGCGAGGGGAGAGGAGGCGAGGGGAGGGGAAAGGAATGAAGGGAGGGAGGAGGAGGGGAGGGGAGGGGAAAGGAATGAAGGGAGGGAGGAGGAGGGGAGCAAGGCACGGACTCGTTACACTCGTTGCAGCATCTGCTTCCTCCTTTTCGGCCTCTTCGCCATTCTTGTCTTCCTGCAGTTTCACGGAATGCAGGTACGAGCAGACAAATTCACGCTCCCCGTGTCAACCTGACGCTGATGTTACAGGCGGGGAGAAACTTCGGATACATGCTCATCACAGTTTATGTTGCCTTCTTCTTCACCATCCTCGGGCTGGAGATGTTGGGAGGTTCCTCTCTCCTTCACTCAAGACTGCCGTAGTTGCAAGCAGGCGCTGTTTCCTTTGCTTTATTGATTTCACTCACGTTATGTACATTCTTGTAATCAACGTTCAACATAGCTCCTCAGGCTCACCTGTCACAGTTGAGACTGCCATGTAGTATCTTACGCTAACTCCCTCCAATCGCACATATCGCAACCATCATCATGTAGCCTCTTCTGGAGTGTATCAAAGTGCCGTGAACTACATCACATCAGCTCTATCACCAGGAGATGTTTCTTCCCTTTCGATATGATCCACCACACAAGAGAAAGCATCATCCAACAGCGACAAAACTTGCAAGTCATGAATCCTCCTCCCCGAACCAAAGTACCACAGTCCTTCCTTGCCCTCCGCTATTCGCAGCTCCCTCTCCATCCCAGCAGCCCCGTTCCTCACCCGCTCTACCTCCGCATGCTCCCCGCCCATCCCTCCCTCCACCACCCTAGGGACTAGGTGGTCAACGGAGATCCCAGGTAGCAGGGAGAGTTGTGGCGCAGCGACGACTCCAGCACCAACCCCAGCAACTACCTCCCGTCTGACCAACGTCGGCGCATCTTCTGGCAGCCTTCTAGCATCGGCCTTCATGAAGAAGAGATCGGCTGTTGTTTCTCGCGTCTCCTCTTCCTCCTTCTTGGACCGAGGGTAAGGCCAATTGTTGATCCCAACCTGTTTGCAAGCATTCTTCAACGCCGTTAACGATATCCCCTGTAAGAACCAAGGTGAGTTGCGGGGGCGGGAGAGGAGGGAAGGGAGGACAGGGGAGGAGGACAGGGGAGGGGAGGGGAGCGCACGCTGGGAAATGGAAGTAGGAGAATCCAAGGACGGGGTAGAAGTACCAGCTGATTTGCAGCCTCGGACTGTCGGAGATGAAAGAGATTCGTGATCTCGACCGCTGTAAGAACTATCTCCTTCTTCCCTTCATCCTCATTCTCTCCCCGACGTTTCCGAGGAAATATTCTAGCAACCTTCGGTGCAAGCATGTCTTTTTAGCTCGAAGAGTCTCCAGAAAGACTGCTGGACATCTTCACTTTCGTCGTCCTCTCCTTCAACCCGCTCGTTCCTGATCCTGTTCCTGTTTCCTGTCCGTTCCTGTTTCTGTTCCTGTTCCTGTTGCTGTTCCTGTCCTGTTCCTGTTTTGTTCCCTCCCTCTCCCTCTCCCTCTCCCTCTCCCTCTCCCTCTCCCTCTTCCCCTTCCTCCTATGGTCCCGCAAACGCGTCCTCGTTTCCGCACGTTTACTCGCGCGCGTAGTTAGTTTGGTAGGTGGGGTAGTCAACTTGTGGTGACTTGACCTAAAAGTACCGGGTACTTTGAGTGGGGAAAGAGGACTCTACAGGTGGGGTAATCAATCAGAGGGTGGGTGGGGTGCAAGACGAACGAACGTGAAACGCCGTCTGGTGAGAATGTCAGCATAAAGTCTCAGGGTGGGTGAAAAGAGTAGGAAAGTGGGGGGTGGTAGATTCAAAAATCGTCCCCGTGATCCTTACTACTAAACATGCATCAACAAAAATAGATCCTTTCACAAGACGAAGTCTGTCACGGCTGTCAGCAAACCTGCATGTCACGTTACCACCCCCCACGCGTACCTACCCCCTTTCACATCAAACACTATGAAAAGTACCCCTCCATTCATCCCTAGGTTTAACCTGCTTCTTTACTACTGTAGAGAACGGTGCGGTATGGTATCGGTACGGCACACTTCCCTCATCCCCGCTCATCCCCCGCTGTACTGACACTTTTACTCAAAGTTCTGGACCGCGGCACACTGTGACCGGCGGGCCGGGCGGCCGGCCACCAGTGATTGCCCTGAGTCAGGCCCGGCCGGGCCTCACTCCCGGTCCCGGACGCACCGGACGATCGCCGGGCGGCGCCGCTGAGCCCGCCGGGCCGGGCGGCCGGACTCCCAGAGTAACTTGCCAAGCCTGACTCAGTGATGAGGCTCGCCCACTGGCCCCCAGACTCTCAAGATAGAGCCTCGGAGGTTGGGACATTCGTGAGTTATGTAGAGCTAAGTTAAAAATCAGTACGAGGACAATGGGATCTATGTTAGGATATCCAAAGCTTTGCATCTTTGATCCCCAACTTATCATCCCTTGCAGCAAACGAGAACAAGCATCCCGGTCGCTAGCCTAGTCATCTTCGCCCTTTCTCTTGGAGGTCAGCCTGGGTAAGGAGGAAGACATCAAGACTTGTCGTCACTTCGGACACCACGACTTGTTACCATCTCAAGACGCTCATTCGCCAGCGCTACTTACAAACATCAGACAAAACACGCGCAACCTTACTGTCACCTAGCAAGGAAATCAGCGCTACTTCGGTCCTATACGTCCTTGGCCCTAGGGAGATTCCCTGCCCCAGCAGTTCACCAGCACGGCACAGAGCAGCACCGATCTCAACCTGAAAACCATGCTCCCCTAGGAGTTCCAGCTCGTACGGGTCCTGCCAGCCGGCCTCGGGCCCGACGCCGACCAAGATCCGCCTGTAGGGCTGGACGGTCAGACTGAGACCGTTTCGACGGCTCATGCTCAACCCGTTGGGCGGAACTTGAACGTCGCGCATCGGGGGTAGAGGGGGAAGCCATGATTTCTGCGGGTGACCGACCATTCTGAGATGGCGGAACGGAGGCATGTTGTGTCAGTTTGGTCGATGGTAAAGGAAAGATATGCATAGCTTGCCTGATTGTGTCTGGGCAGATTTGATCGAGTTGCTCCTCTAAGAAGTATTTCAACCTCTTTGCTACATGCACCTGAGATACACTCGTTTCAGATTTCAAGGTATGTATGTCAGAGATGAAGAGAAGGTTTGATCTCAGAAATGAAGAGAGGTATGATCTCAGATGTCAGGAGATGGTCCTCTCTTGCAAAACGCTGGCCTTACCTTCGGGAGGTACGTCTCGCCAGCTTGTTCCAACCCTTCCTTGAGAGCCTGTCGCATTTTCGACTGGGAGACTTCAGGGATGCAACAAAGAGAACGGAGGAGGAGACCATAGGCGGTCGAAGGAGATGGGAGCCGAAGTAGTCCTGCTGTACCTGCCGCATCCTTCAATCATCGTCCTCCGCCAAAATCTTCATTTCTCACTTTGTTTGCATTGCAGAAGATCACATTGGCAACCCCCTTCGCAAGGGTAAACTTGTAAGATCCGACGACAGAGCAACAGTCAGACAAGAAGAGTTTCTTCCATCACCATCTGTGCTGCAATCCCCAAGAAGTCCCCGAGGTTGGGCGGTCTTGGCAGGGCGATGAGAAGGTCGATGCTGGCAAGGTGGATGTCAACATACAAAAATGATAGAGAAGAGAGTTGATGTTGATGAAGGAGACGAGGATGTAAAGAAACAGAACAGACAGGCACATTGCCGATAGTTGACATCCCATGGACTTTCAAGTCATCATGCGTCCCTTCTCACCGCGGGATCTTGTCGGCGGTATACGGAGCACACAGTTGTTCCGCTGACTGTGAGATCTGCAGCTTGAGCGAACCATCATCTTGCCATTCCAGAACTGCACGCGTGAGATTGTTCAGCACACAAGACAAGTTGGAGTTGATGATGTCAAGAATCCGATCGAGAGCAACAACAAGCACACCTGCATCTTCCTCCTTCCCTGCATCCACGACTCCTATGCGAAGACTCTGGCCATTCTCAAGTTTCAGGATCTTCTTGATATGCTGCTGGAAGAATCAACGACTTAGTCAGCACTTCCTTCAGGAGCTCACTGTGACTCGCTTGTCACTCTTTGCAAGGTAAAGGAGACATGAACTCTGCGATGAAGGTACAACCTGTTACCACACAGGGTGTAAGATCCACTCGACAAGACAGTCGAGATCTCTCATCGACGTCCGACTGACTTCTTCTGGCTCGAACAAGAGGCGATTGAGACATCGCACTTGCATGTGATTCAGCCTTCTGTTCCTTGAAACACATCACTGTCAGTCAGAACGACTTTTACAAACAGCATCCTCGCAACCCTCACTTCATACAGCTACAAGACGACTGAGGACAGCAAGGAATACCTCCTCAACGATATTGGCGGCTTCATGCCCGTCATTCCAAACCTTGCTGGAGCTGTTATGAATGCTTGTGGCTGTGAAAGCGAGAGTCTGCTCTGCCAAACTCTCTTCGAGCTAGTGCATGATGGCGTGAGGAATAGTATCATGGCAGTATCACACAGACCATGATTGTGCCGTCAAGCTCCATGACAGCGCAATGGGTGCAAACATGCTGGACCAGATCCTACCAGACTTCATCCTCCAAAGATCACGAGTACGCCTCTGCGAGGAGAATTGGTGAGAATGATCAAAGTAGGGAGAAGCAGAGCAAGCGAGAAGAGACACGACACGCCTGCAGCTTGAAGGTATTCACGAAATTAAACGGCCACGAGCAAGAGAACGAGCAAGGAATTTGAGAGGAACAGAGCAGCAGAGCAGTAGAGCGGTAGAGCAGGAGAGCAGGAGAGCGGTAGAGCAGTAGAGCAGGAGAGCAGGAGAGTAGTAGAGCAGTAGAGCAGTAGAGCAGTAGAGCAGTAGAGCAGTAGAGCAGTAGAGCAGTAGAGCAGTAGAGCAGTAGAGCAGTAGAGCAGTAGAGCAGCATAGCAGTAGAGCAGCAGAGCAGCAGGAGAGCAGGAGAGCAGGAGAGCAGGAGAGCAGGAGAGCAGGAGAGCAGGAGAGCAGGAGAGCAGGAGAGCAGGAGAGCAGGAGAGTAGTAGAGCAGTAGAGCAGTAGAGCAGGCGAGCAGTAGAGCAGTAGAGCAGTAGAGCAGTAGAGCAGTAGAGCAGTAGAGCAGTAGAGCAGTAGAGCAGCATAGCAGGAGAGCAGGAGAGCAGGAGAGCAGGAGAGCAGGAGAGCAGGAGAGCAGGAGAGCAGGAGAGCAGGAGAGCAGGAGAGCAGGAGAGCAGGAGAGCAGTAGAGCAGGCGAGCAGTAGAGCAGGAGGAACTGCATGATCAGAGATGAGGCCATCGGGCGAGCCTTCAAACTAGGGGGTAGGGGTGATCGAATTGTGATTCGGGGTGGTAAATGTGGGAATTAAAGGGGTACTATTGATATGAAAATAGGGGGTACTTCTGTAAAAAGGTGGGGTAAGTTCATGAAAGGGGTGGGTAACAAGGCAGGTAACAAGGGGGTGGGAAACTGTGGTCTACCAGCTTCTGCGGTTTCACCGAAATGCACGGCGCCTTACACTGAGGTCGTGGAGCGAAGATGCGGGGTGGTTGTTGCTCGTCCATGACGATGGAGGGGAAGAGGAGGAGGAGGAGGAGGAGGAGAGGGAGAGGGAGGAGAAGAGGAGAGGAGAGGAGAGGAGAGGAGAGGAGAGGGAGGAGGAGGAGGAGAAGTCTGTGGGTAAACGGATGTGGTGTATCCTAAAGGGAAAGGAACTACTCGCTCTGTCCTCGCCAGGTCTGTAATATTGTCAATGCCAGCGCATGGCACGTGATTCCGTGCTCACAGATGAAGATGTTCTGTTGAGCAAGAGATATAAGCTCAGGTACATAGATCCTGCCTCCATAGCTTTGCACACATCGCTGGTCCGCGTTCAGACTGTGGATGGACCGATCTGTCTCAAGGCAACTTCGTGTGAGGACGGGAGCATGTGGAGGAGGTCAATACAGGACGGCATGATGCCCAACCAGAACATCCCGCTGAACTTGCAGGACCTGAAGGTAGACACCTTCCTCCCATACCTTCCTCCCATACCTTCCTCCCATACCTTCCCTCCATCCTTCTCCCTCCAGAACTCTTACCCTTCTCCCTGCCGTCGCTTGCTTCCTCTTCCGCCTTCTCCTCTCGCACGGCGCATTCAGCCATTTGGGCAGGAGTGGCTGAAGGAGAAGGAACAATCTTACAAGACAGGATCACTCTCCCTAAAGACCTTCGAGCACTTGCTGGAAAACAGCGTCCTCCTGCTCAACAGATGTGTTGAAGGCACCGACGGTCTGAACGCATGCCACGTTGCCTGTACGACCGTGGGGTCAACCACTCCCCTCCTGGCTGCGATCATGACCGCGTCTGAACGAGCGTCGAGGGAGCAGGATGATAGAGGATGTATACCTTTCTATCACCTCGTCAAGTGCTTTCCTATGGTAGCAGAGAGCATGTCGTGGATGGTAGAGAACTTCGCGCGCGAT